TGTCCCCTCACAGATGGACCCAGGATTCAGAAATTTGTCTTAACGAGGCCTTACAATTCTACACCAACTTCACAAAGATGGGTGCTTTAAATCCTTTGAACAATTAAGAGTAAAATTAACACTCCCCAATACAGATTTTTTTCAGGTATTTACAACTACGGGACTTTGCAATAGAAAAAAGAGAGTGGACTAAAATCCTAGAGCCCACTAAAATCGAAGAATTCTTGATAAAATTGCAAACAGGTAGGGGGAATAAGAAAATTATCAGTCATTTTTACAAGCAATTTATAGATATGGATCCAAACTAAACTCTACAGACCAAAGAAAAATGGGAACATGAAATGAATATAGATATACAGCAAGACAGATGGGAAGAAATATGCATCAAATCACTAACTCTAATACATGGCATCCATACACTCAGATAAATGCAGGAGAAGTTGTGGGTCACACATTGGAAATCTTACTGATATGTTTTGGACATGCCCTAAATTGACCCCTTTTTTCTCCAAAGTGCAGGTTAAAGTAAAATGGAAAGATGTTTTAATCATCAGGCTCCTCTCTTGTGGAAACAACTACCAGTTTTAGCCATGGAGGCAGACACTGTCTACTTTAAAGACTAGGCTTAAACTTTCCTTTTTGACAAAGTTTATAGTTAGAGGGGCTCATGTTACCATGGTCTACTTCTATAGTTATGCTGCTAAAGGCTTAGACTGCTGGAGAACCTAGGGATCACTTTTCAGAATTCTGCTTCATTCTGATTTTTTTCCCCAAGTAGCTTCATCTAATCTGTTTAGGTGTAACACCATTCTGGAAAGAAATTTCAGATAGGTTGCTGTCATTACCTAAGATTAGGCAACTAGGGCATGTTTTCAGTGTTTAGTCCCTTTTCTCTCCTAATCAAAGTTTAGAGCTCAGCCTTTACTGGGATTATCTGTACCTGCTCTCTTTCATCCTTTCCGCATGAAAGCTCACTCGGAACTTGTCTGCTTGACTGTTTCTTTCCTGGACAGAGCCACCTGTGAAGCTGGTTTGCAGTTACCTTTTGTTACATATAAAGTACAAATCAGGGCCTTTATGTTCCCTTTGTATGTCTGCCTCTGTCCCCTTGAATCCCTTGTCTTCTTATTAAAAGTTTTTCTCTCCATGCACTGCATGCACACTGGGTGTGAGGGTTTGCTGTTGAGTCACTGATTCAATGCAATCAGCTGGTTTTCCATAGATAGAAACCAATCTGGTTGTATGATCTATTTGAATTGTCTCTGTAAAGTGCCTTGAGATTCAGTTCAGTTCAAAAATATGCTACAAACATGCTAAAATATGCTGCAAAGGAAAATTAAATTAAATAACAAAAATTGAATAAAACAAATAAAGATGACGTGTATTGTGAATGGGGCTATATGAATAAACTGAATTTATTTTATTTTTATACGTTCCTCATGAGTATCTACTTTACGAAGTACACCTATCACCTATATGAAAACAAACAGACAACAGAATAAACCTCTCATAATTTACTGTCAGTATGCAATTCTCAGCAATGTAAGCTTCTGGTTTATTGAAAAAGTAACACTGGCCATTGTGGCCAAGATATTACATTTTGGTTTCATCAGCCAACAATACAAGTCTTCAAAAATTAATATTTCATTTCTGCATACATTTTCAAACTGCAATCTGGCTTTTTTCCTTTTGGAGCAATAACCTCTTCCTCTCAAAGTGGCCTTTCTACCCATTTTATTGCAGAACTTGTTTAATTGTGAACAGTGAAATGACAGCATTATCTAAGCAAAGTGTTTGCTTTTGTTCTGGGTTGGTCGACACATTTTTATACCAACATACTTATAACTCTCCAATGCATAAACATTTGCCATTTAGTAGTCAAAATTGCAACAATAGAACTTTCTACACAAACCTCAACACAGACCACATATATTTGCACTTTAAGGCCCATATAAGTATCCATGCTGTATATCCCCAATATTTTTGTTGATGTCAGTACCTAAACTTTATGGAAATCAAACACTTTTTGTTGATATAGTCAAGCTTAAAAAAAAATTGGGGACATTGAAATAGTTTTTAGGCTATTTCTACTTAATCAAACTGTAATTCAAAGCAAAACCATGAGAGCTGAAACTTGAACTCTCACATCAAACTAAATTAAGGTCTACTACTGTAGAGTAACATCCAAATATTACAGCAGAATTACGTTGAAAATGTTTTCATTTCTATGAAAATGTATTTCTGTGCAACAGACTGAGATAGAATTATCAAATTACTGGTGACTCACATAAATATATAAGTATATATTAGTATATAAGGAATGGGTTAAAGTAAAGTTTACATGTTAACCTGGGTTCGGGAGCAGGACCACGCCCAAAGACACTTCTCCAATTTAAAGAGTAGCCTATTTATACTCTGTTCCCCCATTTTTTTCCCAGTCTTTTGTATTTTGTCAACAGCACCCTCCCTTAAAGGAAAAGTCCGGTCAGCAAGGAATGATCAATGGATCATTATCTACACCTAAAACTAAACCTTCGCGGTGATTTAATCAATAAAGAAAATTAAAAAAAATTATTTTTGCCACGATCACTGATTCACTGACATGTTCCGGCAGTGATGTCACGGTGCGGTAAGCCTAGTGCCATTCTCCCCGCTTTACAAGCAAAATCAATGGGAACTAAGAGACACATCAACAATCAACAATAATTATTTAAGATTTCGAGAGGACTTCACCATTCGCAAAAGCTATAGTTACACTGACAATGCCCATGTGTAGGCAGCTGGATGCTGTAATACATTGGGTAAAAGTTATTTCACACTTCTAATTCATGATCCTGCATGGACAGATTCGTCATTGGATTGCCAACATGAATAGGAACGATTTTTTTTCTGGCCACAAAAAAAAATCTCGTAATATGTAGCCAACATTTCGAAGAAGAATGTTTCCAAGATGACTTGGATAATAGCGCGTTTTCATAAAAACCTGATACAGCACTGGGACTTGCTCAACAGCCGTTACCGCACCGTGAGGTCACAAACCGGTAGGTGGTGGAAGTGTTCTTTGAGAAACATGGATGTCTCCGGTAAAGCACATTCAAATCGAATTACTCTCAATTACAAACACTTATCATTTATAGAACAGTATGTAATAATTTCATATTTAAAGTACTTTTCGAAGTTTGGATTCTGAATATGACTGGACTTTAACCCCTATCCCCTTTTTCTCATCACTCTTCATTCATCACCTCTTCTTCTCTTCATCCCTTCATCTTATTATCTGCTATTTCCTCCCTGCCTTTCATCCCTTCACCCCATCATCCTCATTCCCTTTTTTGTAAGCTGGTCTTTTAACTGTGCTTTGCTTTTCTTTGTAGCAGGATCAATATGGGGGGTCCTCTGCACAAATAACAGCTGATATTTTACTGTCTTCCCGCAGATGTCATAATCAAGTCCCTTCATTCATTCCCTAGATCCCCTTCTGAAAATACATTTTAAAACTTATTTTTTGTGGAGTGGTCCCTGCAACTGAAAGCATCTCTAATAGCTATAAATATTTTCTTGGTTCATGCCAATGTTGAGTAAATGTATATTTCTGATTAACACGGTTTTCTTATGAAGACAGAGTAACTATATTTCCTCATCAAAATGTACATCTACTGGTACAGATGCAACGGAAGAGAAATGTGTAATAAGTTAGTCTGATTTTGCACATATCTTGAAGGATTTTTTTTATCTCTCCTTATCCCTAAAGGTTTTCACATCTTCAAGAGGAGTGGTAAACTCTATCCTATAGAGCAAAAGAAAAAAGGAAATCCCTTATACTACAAAACAATATTTTTTCAGTAATCCACCAGTTTAGCTGCAGATCCTTCAATAAGGCTGTGGGATGTTATTTTGATGCTGTTTTCTTTTCAATTTAAGCAGAAAGGATTTCCTTCCTTTGTGAGTAATAAAAACTTAACCAGACCAATGTGTAGACACCATCAGTTTTGTCTAGAATGACAGCAGTTTAGTGAATCTTTTTTATATGGAAAATTAAAAAAGGTATCCCACTAAAAACCATATATCACATAGTTTCCAGTTGAAATGCATAAACAAACACCAAAATATTTTAGGCACATGTTTGTGTCTTTGAGCTGCTCCCTTTTTTCTGGGCTCACCACAGTGAGTCAATATGACTCGCTCACAGACTTAAAAATTTTGTTTCTGTGTCTCTACTGTAGCATTCAAGTCAGAAACTTAAACCAGTAAAATATTCTCTGCACACATGGCAAAAAAAGGAAGCTATCCTTTCTATTTGAGAACATAACTCATTTTATATATTTCTGCTGCCTATCATCCTCTTTCCAGGTTATTAAAAGTGACATGTGTAGACTAAAAGGCTAAGGACCTGTTAAAGAGCTTAATGTGCCTCTGGTTCCACATATTGCTGACTCATCTTCTAGTCCAGGTTTAAGAAACTAAAGTCCCAATTTAAAAAATAGATTGAACTGCAATTGCCCCAGAAGTGATTTGCATTCACACTAGAGGGTTTACATATTACTCCTTTATTCTCTTGCCCTGATATAGAAGTAGTTTTCCAAAAATCCAATGCATTTTGTTACCTTTAAATCTCATTATAGAGACTTAAAGGTAAGAAATTTAGAGAAATGTATTGTATTTTTATCCTAGTTATACCTTCAATTAACAGTCTTCACCTTCCATTTAAAAACCCTTTCTTGCTGATGTATGGGGGGCTTATTTTAGCTGTGTCCCTTTAAGGCCACGCCCTCTTGGACAGCACATGCATGCTACCAGGAAAAGGTGAGCTTACAAACAATGTTTCTTTTGTGAGGACAGCAGGTTGGGTACATTCAAGCTGCAAAACTGAGTATTCACTGGACAAGAAAACAGCTGCTCCTTGTGTTATTGTTAAAAACAATACAAAGAGGAGACACACATGCATACATTTGCATGCCTTTGAGTAAAGCACTCCTGGGTGAACACTTTATTCACAGGAGGGGAAGCAGTACCCTGCTAACAATAATTCAACAGGACTTGGAGGAATATTTCAGGCCTCTTGGAGCCACTGAATCACTTTCATTTGCTTCATGTGAGCCATCTTTGTGTGATGTATTGGGCTTGTTTCCAATAGTATGCGATTTGTCAGCTCTAATTAATCTTTAACCCAGAGGGTGCTCTGCAGCTCACAGCCTAATATGTCTGGTCTCCTTGGTAGAATGGAGACGGCTGATTTCCTACAGCTCCCTGGGTATGGTGTGGTTGGCCAGGAGCGTGCTGCGAGGCCCTGACAGCAAGACAGTGCTGGACCAAAGCTGCAGGAAGCTGGTAAGATTTGCTAATGATTGTTGCCTTGGCTGCCATGCAGGGAATTCTCCTGAGCAGCATAGCATTTAATACTCCATTGCTCTAGGAGAATTTGCTGGCTGTTTGTTCAGTCCCAAGCCAGAATGACTGACTCTTACACTGTGTGCTGTGTCTGGGTATTTAATGCTGGTTTTAAGAAGTAACACAGGAATACTTGAAGTGAAAAGGTTTGCTTTATGAATTCAACAACAGTTAGACAGCCATGTTTTCTTTTATAAAACAAGGCAAACAGGAACCCTGAACATTTATGTTTTAATGTTGCTCACATACATAGCCTTTTAACTTTTTTACTTTTTCTAGCACTGTTGTCAAATTATAACCAAATACACGTGTTCTATTTGAACTATGTAGGGTAAATAATGTCAAAGTATCTAAAGTAGCAGGGAAATTACAGTTTTCAGAAATGTGTTTAAAGGAGTCTGATTAGCAAGGCCTTCCTCAGCCCATACTACAACCATCCCCTGCTGCAGTTCAAGTTATGTTGGATGGAGACCGTCTGTGAATATCAATCTTCAAGACATGTCACAGTTTCTTAGTGGGATTTAGGTCTGGGCTTGACTTGGACAGTCTACCATGTGATTACGTGTTTTTTTTTCTAGAAATTTGTAAATGTCTTTTAGTCCTGCCCCATGACTTTAAGGAAGAAGGGCCCTTGGCTGTTTAGTAGAGTGTCTGCAAATTATGGTTAAATCCACTTGTTTATCCCATCATTCTATGACCCTCATTTGAGCTATCTCTGGTCTTTTTATAGATTGTTTGAAATGAATGGGCAGACACAAGCTGCCAGCAGCAAATTGCCAAAAACTCCTACAAAGATTTTATTTAAAATATTCAAAACATTCCTCTTTAAGTTACATGTATAAATGGAATAAAAACAAGAAAACTCCAACAAAGTATTTATTGAAACTACCTTTAAAATCTTTATCAGGTAAGTCTCTTTGAGAGTAAAATATGCAAAAATGAGGGAAGGCTTTTGTAGAGTGCTGTACTTTCACAAATTACCTGTCATGGTTAAAGACAAGACTCTGCTACAAGCAGCAATTACTGACACAGTGGTGCAAGTTCAGAAAAGGATTTATTGTGTAAGCAAAGAAAATGGTGTCCTGTAGTTTTTGTGACCAGGTTCCAGGATGGAACGAGGACGAGATGTAGGTGGTTAGATATAATTATGGGGAGGATGAGTAATGGGCTGAAATTAGGTGAGCAGGGTTTACTGATGCAAAGATAGGAGGAACTGGAGAACATGAATCTATCCACAGAGCTGAGAATGAGGGGTTCAGTGTGTGATGATCAAGTGATGTTTTGTCATTATTTAGAGCGGGGGAATAATGAAAGTACTTGTATAGGTGAGTGAAACAGAAGCAAGGTAAGGGTTCCGATCGGAGCTTGAAAGAGGAGTGACAGAGAGTTCAGGGTTTGGGATTTCCACCTAGATGCTGGGAACCAGAAATTTACAGTTTAATTCAAGGGAGACTGGGCTTTTATGAGCAAGGAAGACAAAAGGATGAGAGTCTCATTACCGCTAATGTGAGCTAAACAATCTAATGTTTGTGTCAGAAAACGAACTCCTCCTCCTGATGAGCCTTAATGAGTTACAGCTGCAGAGCCCGTACCTGCCAGTCACACCCTGAAAATTAAGGATGAGGAGAAAAACATAAAAACTGAACACAGCTCTATGGATGCTACATTTCAATGAGAAGAGACAATAGGTTTGTGTCCTCCTTTCTTTTAAGAAGTCTAAAGGTTAATGATATATGATATATGTGAGTGACGATAACTCCCAATAAGATCAAAAATTAGACCAGACCTAAATTACTTGATTCTGATGGTTTTGAGTTTTTTTTTATCCCTCTCTTTAATGTTCAATTGAAGCAGACTTTTGCAGGAAGAATCCCAGGGTTTTATTTACATCATGATCACATGATGACACCAGCAACTATGAGCTGCTCCTCCGTATTTGGGCACTGTGTATGAAGCTTCAAAAAAAGCTGAGAGGTTTTGTTTGGTTATGTCACATAAATATGACGTATGGCATGGATTGGATTTAACTGTTAGCTGTCAACACCTGCTTTCAGTCTGTGCTTATTTTATTTTATTTAATATCTATTTTTCCCTTTTTTTTTCATTTCAGAAAAGTCGGCAAAGCTGCCAAGTTGAGCACAAGCTGAGAGAAGAACTGCAGGCAAATTCTCTTTTCAACACTTTCAGACACTGTCACAACTTCTCTGCTTTCTTTATGGAATACTAGACTCCATGCAAACACTTGTTTGGTTTCTTGATGTAATTTGCTTTATTTTAACAGACTTTAAGTTCAGCACAGAGGAACATGAAGTAGATCATTAAGGGATTGCACCGATTTTAGTTCTATAGAAGTACAATTAGAAATGTTTAGCAAACTTATTAGACAATGGAAAATTGCATGTCAGAAAATGTTGTTTTAGTTCTAATTAAAAACGACTAAAGACAAATAAGTCTAATTTGTTGTGTCTTTGTGTTCTTCTGATTACTTGTATAATCAAGTATACAGTTTGGCAAAAAGCATTAAATCTGGACCACAAAATTTGTTTTGAGAATTAAGTTAACATCTCTGTGCTTCTTACTGTTTAAGTTGGCTATGATACAGTTGCACCCAATATGTGGATTTATTTTGTACTATATTTGATTAGTTTTGCATTTTGGGGGATTTTATGTGACAGACCAATACACAACTTTTAACAGTTTAACTTTTTGTCAAGTTCTCTTTTAACAAAAATGCAGATTAGAAAGAGTGCATCTGTGGACAGCAACCCGATTAGGATCTGAACTTCAGTGATCATTCTGAAGGAGAAAAAATATCTGACCAGAACATTTTTATTATTTTAATTTTTTTATATTTTATTATTTTGATTGCTTAGAAATTTTCTTCATTTGGAACATCTGTATTTATACTAAGATTAGATACAATTAAACTGTAAAGGTTTTATCTTAGGGGTGCCACTATAACCTACAAATTTTAAAAAGTTAAAAAGGGCATCTCTCATTTAGTTTTTTCCTAATTTATTAAGCAAAAGTATACAGAAATATCTAGCAAACAAAACTCTAAATAATAACAAAAAGCTGCTAATAGCAACAATGTTTTATATTATCCCAATAGTTTCATTTTTTGTACAATATTGGCATTCCCTCCTTGAGATAAGCAACTAAATAAGAAGGTATGCCCAAATTTTTGACTGCTGTTGTAAAAGCATGCCGCACTTTTCTTCAGCATGTACTTCTTAGTGTTGATCACATAACATCTAGATATAATCCACTCAAATGTGTGGCTTTAGCATTAAACAATATGAAATGGTGTGGCATGAATAATTTTGCAGGAGTACTCTCCTTTTTTTTTTTTTCCTCGTTTCTGTACTGAGGGATACTTTGCTATGAATCTTTTGCCTCGGGTGTTTTCTGAGAATGAGTTTTGCAGCTTCCCACCTAAGAAAATTATTTATCTGCCAGTCTACAGTAATTGCTGATGCAAGATAGCTTCCTAGTGTCCCACACAAGTCGTTTAAGGGGTGATTTTCTACAGGATATCCATAGAGTGAACGCCCATCTTTGTTCGCTGGACTCTGTACAATATTGTACTCCGTTCTGACCATTGACTCTAGAGCCATGCAGGCGGTCTGTAGGAGCGCGGCGCTGTCCATGGTGCTGGAATCAGCAGCTTTTGATTCGTACACACATGCAACAGAATTAGACGCTGCTGGCTGTTATTTACCCTTATAAAGAACAAGATTTGTTTTAAAATACAAAGAGAGGGGGAGAGGGAAATGCGATAGAGCTGGTTTCGTCTGACGGCACAGTAAAAGCCAATACGTGAAAGTCCCCTCACTCTATATGGGTAAATTCAAAGCAGAAGCTGCTTGTCCTCGCTTTGGTGGCGCAGTGTTTGACTTCAAATGTCATTTAAATTGGATAAGAAGAAAAGAAGGATAAGGAGTAAATTCTGTGACTGTGAGTGACTGTCTTGGGGACGAATTGCAGCATGTGAGCCAGGAGAGACGCGCGACGCTAAGAGCCAATAGCGTCGAAGAGCTGCCGTACGCAAAGAGTGCGGATGGGAAGCTACTCCGGGTATACCTCCGCGTCTAACGCATGGTCGTGTGTAGGTTGAATGGGATAAGAAGAGCGAGTGCGGAGCGATATAGAGACTTGCTGTGATGCGGCTTGCATATATTCTCAGACAGGACTAGCTTCTTCTAAAGACGACCTCCTCCATCGCGTCGCTTTCCATTCCAGTAATGTGGCGTATCTGTGTGGCGCACCTGTAAAGAGCGAGACACGGGACAGAAAGCCGGGCTCTTTTTTTGTTTGATTATTTGATTCCTTTTCTTTCTTCTGTTGTCTTTGTTTTATTTTATATTTTTTTATCTTTTCCCCCCTCTCCCTTTCTCCTCCTCCCTTTTACCTTTTTTTTTTTAATTTCATGCCTTTACTGAACAGAAACCATTCCTGTGTTTTGATTTAATAAACATTTTAATTTCCTCATTTCATATTGTTTGTGTTGGCTTTTTTTTTTACGTTTTAAAGTTTGAACTTAAAAAAAAAAAAAGCAAGAGAGAAAGAGGGCGCGGAATCCACATCATTTGATCAGGTGTTTCATTCAGAGACTATTTGCCCCCCCAAGGACGTCTCTAACTTTCCTTTATAGAAACGGTAAGATCTTTTCCTGCACATTTGCATTTTGAAATCGAGGTAAAGAAATAGTCTGTTTCGGTGCTCCTTCTAGTGTGCAGAGCAGATCCTCTTATTGCATGAGATGTGATGTGTAGGAAAGTGACTGTGGTGCATTCATGTGACGCTCCATCCTCAAGTGTAAACTATGGAGCATGCAGGTAGTCAATGAGGGACATGCAGTAAAGTTATTTTTCCTCTCTTGTGCAGAGTTCTGAAACATGCAAACATTTTAGAATGGAGTTGCTACAAAAAACATGTTTTAAAACATGCAAATAGTTTAATTTTAGAGTCCTTTCTTAAATGCAAAAAAACTTATTTTATCCGTTATGGTGTTTGACTAATATTTTTTATAACTTTATTTTAAAAAAATTACCAAAAACAATTGTCACTGCTGAAAGGGACAATGCTGTGTAGGTTGTAATCGGTGCAGCCTGCATGTAGTGCTGGTGGATGAAGTTCTTGTTTTCATTTGCACTTTTTCTATACTATATAAGAATTTCCATGCAGGGATGACGGCAAGTCAACGCTATTTTTGGAATGCAAAACAAACAAAAAAAAATCTCTCTGGCTACTTCCTTTGCGTTCCATCTGTATTATTTGAAGATTATCCACATCAGCAGAAATATCTTAGAAGTACTTTTGTCTAGTGTTTGATGATGCACCATTGTTGGCCAATGGATCAAGCTAATTGATATTATATCCTTGTTAATGCATTTTAATAAAGAGCTCATTTGCTTATTATTAGGACAGGAATTAATGATAGGCTAATCGTAAAATGCCAGAGTTGTTTCAGACCATGTAATTTCTTATGTCGAACATTTTACCCATAGATAGGATATAGATAATCTGACACAGCTTAAAAATGTATGTATACATTTACAGACTGCTTAGCTAAGTGGAGTGAACCATTATTAATTGGAAATAATGTAGCCATTTTTGGCTTTTACTTAACAATATTTAGTTACTTTAACACAATTCATGTTAGCAGGGTAGGGCATTAAAGTAGCTAAATATTATTAAGTAAATGTCCAAAGTGGTTGCATTATTTTTTTTTTCAGTTCACCTTGCAGGTGTTGCATAAAGTAAAACAAAAAGTAAAGTTTAGACAAACCTCTAACAGGCACTTAAACCTCTTTTTGTATTTACATTTCCCATTTTACAAGTTACTACTATGTGGAACTTGGCTGCCAGATGTTATTTTTGTGTCTGTTTTTCACAGGATATCCACAGAAGGGCAGTATAGAACAGTCTGAAATTAGTTTGAAGCCAAAACTTCTTTGTAACTGGGTTTATTTTACTTGCATTTTTTTATGCTAAGCATATGGATACTATGCAATATTCCATTGGGAAGAATTGTTTTTTTTTAGGCTTAATATGTTAATTTTAGAAACAAAAAAATCTGAAAAACTGTTCAATCATTAATCTGAATCTGTAAGCTAAACTGTAGAAATAATTGTCTTTATTCCATTGAATGCGCCGCAAACAACGCATGCAGCTGCAGCTCATCATGCAGTTATGAGAACATGCAGCCTTGTCTTCTGATTGGTCGACATTCTGATTAGTTTATTTAGTGCATGCGCGTTCCCGCCACCGCCCCCATATGCTTCCCGAAGACCGTGGCCGAGCGTTTGTCTGCAGGGACTTTATTATAAACGAGCTGCGCCGGTTCAACACCTCGAGGTAAGACGTTGTTAAACTGTAGAAAGGACCGGTCACTGTGTGTGGTCGGTAGGTCGGTATGGCAAAACGAAGACGTTTCAGTAGCTAGCAGGCAGCTAGCTACTTGTTTCTGCTGCCAGTTATAAAACGTTTGTTTTTATAAGGCCACTCGGAAAAATTAGATGCTTTTATAAATGCGACCTGTTTCAAACGTACACATTAGAACCCCCAGCCCTGTCCGAACAGTTCTCTCTCTCTCTCTCTCTCTTTTTTTTTTTTTTCTTAAACTATATAGTAGAAATGGGGTGCTAATAGCTTTAAGTAGCGGTGCGGCTAACTTTAGCCATGCTAGAAACGGCACATAAAGGTGCCATTTTCAGGATATTTAAACTAATTTTCCCTAATTTTCTTTATTCCAGTCAGTTCAAGCTTAAACCAACCCGGTAATTTGGCTACAGGAGCACAGCTGCAACTCCTTAATTAAACATGGCGGCTTCACTTGACTCTTTTTTTTTTTTTTAAGGAAGATTAGAGCCACTGAAAAAATAAGTTAACTGATATTTAAATATTTCAGTTTAATATGGGAAAAAAGTCAGAATTCTGACAGCTAACAAACATGTTCGCATCAAGCTGCAGCCATGTCTGTTTTAGAGATTAGCTCTCTTGTTTTAATCACCTTCTGCTCTTCCATAATTGAAAAGGCATCACCAGGGACCCCTCGGGCACGTAAAAAGTTGCCTAACTGCGTCATTTTTAATTTTTACTGGCCCTCTCAAACAACTCGCATCTTTGTCAGTGAAGCTGAGTGCTCCCACATCTCTTCCTTCCTGGTGCATCTACATTAAGATCCACAATTCTGAGATTAAAGTCAGAATTCAGACTTTTTTTCTCATACTGAACTAACATTTTACCATTGATTAACTTTTTTCTTCTTTTTTTTTGTGGCCCTAATCATCTCTACTTTTTCAAATATGGTGTATACATGTTTTTTTTTTCTCAATTTATCTTTTTTTATGGTGTTGCTGCACTGTTCCCCACAATACTGGTTGTATCAAAACACATGATTTTGTCCTATAGATTATTTCTACTTATCGTAATTTGGTTTTGTACTAATGGAGAGCCATTTAAAATTTGACCTTTAGAAATAGGTGACAGTTACTGTTGTGATATTACAGCTCATTAAGCTCAGTTACATATTGGGTACTTTCATTGGTCAAGTTTGGGCATCAACTCTCTAAATGGAGAATATAATATTGTGATTATCATTTAAAAACCACAACCAACAAATTTAACTTGCAGACTGTCCCCTCTGCCATACTAATATATTAGTTTTATAACATTGTCTGGGTAAATACTTGATTCTGATTGGCTGCAGCGTGTGAAGCATTAAAGCAAGCCTATATTTCAGAAATTAAAAAGTCTTGTAAAATGGTCTGAATTACGGCACTGGTTCACTTTTGCAGACCGAGCTACATGTTACCTGACCCGAGCAGATTACACATCACAAGTAATTAAATGGCCACTAGAGAGGAAAAACTTTTAAATTTTTTAAAGGATAAACGCATTGATTTTAATATTTAAGTGGTCAACATAAAAGCAGGATGCGGTGTTCATTAATCAGAAATGGACTTCATGGGAGCAACCCTCCTGTTTGCGAAGGGCAGTTCACGTCTCCAAATAATCCATTCATTTCTAATAATGGACACCTAATCCTGCTTCTATCTTTGTGACTAAAGAAATCATTAAATCAATAAATGCGTTTTTTGCTTGGAAGTTTGTCAAAGTCTACATTTGGTGTAGACTTTATGACCCATCATTGTGGTTTAAGCCAACCTAATTAATCCATATTAGATTTTTTTTCAAGCCTGAGCTCCAAAATAACCTATTAAAAATATCAAGGTCATGCATTGAAGTTGGAGAAATTGCAGAGTTGCATCATACATTTTTTATTTTATTTTTTTTTTACGGTAAAAGTTAAGTAAAGATAATGTATCATATTGGTAAGTATTAGTAAATAGATACTTGAACACCAGAAAGTTACTGTGTTGTTTAAAACAAAAAGTGTTCAATTAAAAAGGTTTTTCTAACCCAAAAGTTAAAAAACCCACAACTTGACCCGAATACACAGTATGATGTTCTAAACTGGTTCTTACTCCTTGATTCTCATTAGTTTTATTTTTTATTTTTATGAAAAGCAATTTTTCAGTGGGCTTTGTGAATAGGCGCATTAATTCACTATGTAGCTTAAGACGGACATGCTCAAAGTCGGTCCCCAAGGGCTGCTGCCTGCAGGTTTTAGGTTTCCTTGCTCCTGCACAACTGATTCTGATTGATTGCTGATTGATGACAGGCTTATGCTGAACTGCAATTATCATAATCAGCTGTGCTAAAACAAGGAAACCCCTAAAGCTTGCAGGACAGCAGCCCTTTAGGACCAACTTTGGGTATGCCTGGCTTAAGGCAAGAGTGGGATTTAGTAACCCGTTTGTGTTTTGTGGCTTGAAAGGGGAAAAAAAGGAGAGGAAGAACACAAGCAATCAGATTGAGGGAATCCAAGGTTTGATTGGATGACATGCATACCAGTTAAATATATTCCTTTGGACTCTGTGCTAATAAAGCCTGAAACCCATCATCCATTGTTGAAAAAAACTTACAAATAAACTCAGTAAGACTGGACTAGAATACAGAGGACCCCAGATTTTGTCGTTATCATTAAATGTATTTTTTATTGAGGTTTGTCAGATTGATTAATGTGAGACATGCCTGCAAAGACTTAAACCAATTAAGACAAAATGTGTCTCCGTAATTTTGCATTCTTCCTCTAAGTCAGATAATGTTACCAAGTGGGGTCAATTAACTAAATGCTGGCTGCACTAAACAGTTGTTTGCTGGTTTTGTACCACTTGAAAAATCAGCAAATGATATAGGGGAGAGAAAATTACAGCTTAGTTTTACAGAACCACATTTGAAACGGGTTTGAGCTCCTACAGTGTTAGCAGTGAGTTGGACAACTGGTAGATTAATGTCCCTGAATACTGAGTGTTTTGGTGCATGAGGCTTTTTTGAGTTATTTAAATAATGTACTCTCTCATTTTTCTTTATTTTTAGCAGCAATGGTTTACCTTTTATTGCCCCCTTGTCCCTTTTAATATGTAAAATCATAATAGCTAAGATTTTGTTTCTTGCAGGATAACCATTAGAAATTGTTTTTGGTTGTAGGTTCTGGCCTTTGTGTTTTAAAAATTGTTGTAACCACATTTGATCATTTTTGGGTTGCTGATATGCTAAAGCTCTGTGTAGGTAGTCGGCTAAAGAACTGT